TGATGCTCCAAAAGACCATCTCTTGAGTTAAAAGTTGACATCTCTAGTAGTTTAAGAATAACGTATGACAAACAACAAAGGGCAATAACTCAAAAATTATGTTGGAGTTACAGTTCTTGAGCAATGCACCTCTCCACAATGATATTTATACATTTGTGAATTCTTAAGATAGTAGCTTGAATAGATTTTGACTATGGTGAGCTATTGTGACCCCCCACCGTCCGTCGTCGTGCGTCCGTGCGTCGTCAACAATTTCTTTAAACAACATCTCAAAACCCAATGACTGCACAGTAACCAAACTTTACAGGAATGATCCTTGGGTGGTCCCCTGCCAAAGTTGTTCAAATGCTGCGGTCTGTTGCATAAGTATGTCACGGGGCTAGAAAAGTTGTTAATAAAATGCACACTTAAAAATCTACTTGTCTGAAGGTACAAGACCTCGAACTTTGATATTTGGTTTATGATATCATCTATAGGTCCTCTACCAAAGTTATTCAAATTATAGCTCTGGGGTCAAAAGTGGCCCCCCGTCCCGGGGTATCATAGGTTTTTCTTATATGTATATAGTAAACAGTTAAAAAATCTTCTTGTCTTAAGGTACAAGGCTTAGAGCTTAGATATTTGGTATGTGATATCACCTATATGACCTCTACAAAAGTTGTTCATATTATAGCCCTTGGGTTAAAATTGGCCCCGTCCCAGGGGGTCATGGTTTTCCTTATATGTACGCATATAGTAAAAACTTAAAAAAAACCTTCTCCTCTAAATTGACAAAGGCTAGAGGTTAGATATTTGGCATGAAGCATTGTGAAGTAGATTTCTACCAAGATCGATCAAATTATAGCCCTAGGGTCAGAATTGGCCCCGTCCCAGGGTCATAGGTATGGATAAATTATAGTAAAAACTGTTCCAATCCACATACTTTAACCTTGATATTAACTTTAAATTTCTTGGTGTATTGTCTGAAAACATCAACTTCTTGCCTACACAAAAAATAACCCTGTTTTGTATATTTTTTAAGACCTGGAACTTCACTTTTGTATATCAAGTTGCATTTAGTACTCAGGTAAGCGCATTGGGGCAATGCCCTCCCTGTTTAATTGTATATACTCATTACACATTTGCATTTGTATTTTCGGCTGCGTTTTTATTGACGCTATACGTTGTAATAGAAAAAATGTCACTGTTCTGGATTTTTCTGGGATTATTATTTATAAATGTGATTATGAATAGATAAAATGATAATGAAAAAAAAGTAGATTTGTTAAAACTTTTTTTCCTTTCTCAATGCAGGATAAATGTTTCGTACCTACTACAAAACATATTATTTCCATATGTAGAAACTAACTCACTCGATCTTTCAATTTGTCAGTTTATTTGGAAACTTAATATACCAATTGAACAGCTTTAAATTGACATAAAATTAAAATAATTTCAATCAAATTACTTCTGCACAATTGTCTTAGACAAGTAGCTTGTTTAAGGAAAATTGTGGACGTCGCAGGCATCTTAGCGTAATCACAGCTAATCATATGAAAACAGTTCCGCTGAATTTAAAAGTATTCTTCATTAAAGCCGCAAAATGTAATCGAAAATGCAAAAGAGCCTCGAATTCGTTCGAAATAAGGGCCTTATAAATTATCAGTCGCAGTTTGCTATAAATATGCTGTTAATATTCACTGTAAAGAATGCAAAATTTAAGGACAGCTTGAAATGTCAATAATATATATTTGTAGATGGTTAGCTACATTTAGAAACGGACACAGAATTTTGAATAATTTTCTTTGGAAATTTATATATCCAATGCAAAGATTCCTGACATTGAAAAGACTATTTGAAACATAGAATATGTTTGACAAGTAATTTTCTTTAATAATAAGGGTTCTAGTTTACAAAAAACGGTACCTTCATGCGTCACACGTAAGTTTGTAACAAATACTGTTCTCGGAAAAATAAATTGAAGAGTTTCTGGGCCTTTAATAGTTCAAATTTATGCAGATGAATATAATTATACTAGTATGTACTATTTCTACAGCATTTGAGTAACCATCAAATCTATGCTCTACAAAATATTATATAACAAAGCAATTACAAAACACATGCACTTATTTTTATTTTCATTACAGAACCTATAGATGATGGCCTCTCTTGTCCTGACAGAAGAAAAATCGGATTTTTTTCGATACAAGTTTAATTTTTTGATTTGGTACTCTTTTTAAGCACCGTTGATAAATTGTGCAACCGAAAACCGTAAAAGATTTTTTAAAATCAGAGCGAACTGGGGCATTTTTTTGAAGAAAAAAACATTTCGAATGACAAAGGATTTTTTTTCCCCCCCAAAACAAAGATCCAGATTCCCCAACCTTTATGTACTCTCATTTGTTTTTTGCTTTGAATTTTGCGGGGCTTTAAAGTCAATACATTTCCCGTGGCTGGGGACCGTCCCCAATTTTGGATTATCAAAAAAGGCATAAAAGGATCAGAAAAATGAGAAATGATGTAAGTTACTTAGTCTTATGAAAATAAGTTAATTACTAATTAGCTGAGAGTATTTGTATCATTTACAGGCGTATATCAATATCAATACTCTTGACTTGCTTCTTGAAATTTTTAACACAATTTGGGTATCTGGTAAATTTCCCAACACTTGGAAGGTACGTTGGTTATTCCTATCCCTAAACATGAAAATATTCAACTGATCCTACAAATTATCGTCCGCTGCCTCTGCAAAAATGTCGAGAGGATGATAAATAATCGGTTAGTTTTGTAATTAGAAAATAAAGGAATTACTAGTATCACTTATTTTTAGTCAGAGTTTCGTAAACAGCGGAGTACAAACGATCATCTCGTACGACTTGAAACTTTTATTAGAGAAGCCTTTGTAAATAACCAATACCCGATATCAATTTACTTTGATCTTGAGAAGGCTTACGATATTTCTTGGAAATATGGTATCCTAAAAGATCTAAAGGACGCATACTTCCTCTTGTCATTTCTGGATGTGTCGATAGGCACTTTAAACTAAGACTTGGTTCAACTTTTTTCTGAAGACCACCAAAAAGAACAAGGTGTTCCTCAAGAAAGCATACTTTCTGTAACACTTTTTGGTCTTAAAATAAACTATATTACTAGCGCTCTTACACCAGGCATAGACTGTTCTCTATATGTAGACGATTTTCTTATCTGCTATCGATCGAAAAGTATGAGAACAATTGCAAGGCAACTTCAACAAAATTTAGATAAAATTCAAAAGTTGGCAATAGAAAATGGTTTTAAATTTTCAAAGTCAAAAACTCAATGTGTTCATTTTTGTCGATTGCGGAAACACCATAATGTCCATGAACTCTACATATCTGGTTTTAAAATTCCAGTAGTTGATGAAGCTAAGTTTTTAGGAATTATATTTGATTTTTTTTATACCACATATTAAACATTTGAAAACTAAATGCCAAAAAGCTTTAAATTTACTCAAGGTTTTATCAAGTACAAATTGGGTATCAAATTCTTTCACATTACTAAAATTATACAGAAGTCTTATCCGATCAAAATTAGATTATGGTTCTGTAGTATATGGGTCTGCAAGAAAAACACATCTTCAAATGCTAGATACCATACATCACCAGGGTTAACGTTTAGCTTTAGGTGCTTTTCGCACCTCACCTGTAGAAAGCTTATATGCGAAAGCTGGGGAACCATCGCTTCATCTTCGTCGAAAAAAGCTATCACTTCAATATGCAATTAGAATTACATCTAACAGCAAAATGCAGCTAAAAATATTATTTTAAAACCAAGTTATACTGACATATTTGTTAACAAACCAATAGGCCTTCGTTTAAAAGACGACTTAGATAAACTTAAAATTAATCCAAATAGTATCCTTCAAAATGACGCTAAGGATGTTCCACTTTGAACTTATAATTCCCCGAAAATAAATTTTAACCTTTCAAATATAAAATAGTATCGAATTCACCTGAACATTTGAAAGAGAAGTTTCTAGCAATTAAGGAAGAACATGAAGACTTTAACCATATAAATACGGGCGGTTCCGAAGAAGGTTGAAAAGTAGGTGCGGATATGTTTGAAAATAATTTTAAATCTAGTATGAGGGTACCAGATAATGCATCAATTTGTACTGCTGAAGCAAAAGCCATAGATTTAGCATTGTCAAAAATAGTACAGCATACCCATGATAATCTGACTCCCTTTCTAGTTTAATATCCATTAAATATAAAAAAAAAATCTGACAATATCATGATAAGGAAATTTCTTTTACGATATCATGATATACTTAAAAACAAATCTAATAAATTATATTGGATTCAAAGTCATGTAGGTATACAAGGAAATGAATAGGTAGATGTAAGCTGAACAATCATTAAATTTTCAAAAAACTGACTTATTTACCTGCTTGTAATTTAAGAGCGACTATAAATAAACTCGCATCATTGGAATCTCTTGGTGTGTAACCATCTCTATCTCTGTCAAACCGCCATGATCTAACAGTTCTTCTTCGATGCCGAATTGAACACACTAAAATTAATCACTCTTATCTCCTCACGAATGACAAAACCCCTTTCTCTGAAGCTTGTAATGAAAATTTTAACTGTCAAGCATTTTCTTCTTGAATGTCATGATTTTTAACACGTAATAGAGTTTATTGTGTAAATTTAATCAAAAAACTCTTTAATACAATACCATCTAAAACATCACTGATTATTTGAAAGAGATCAACTTGTATTCTAGGATCTAATTGGCTCATTTCTATTGTCATTTACATAGTTTAACATAACATTTTTAGCCTATTATAGCATTCGGCACGATATGGTCAGTTATGTGTTGACGTGCCGTAAAAATCCAAACAAACAAATAATACATTGTTGCTTAATTATAATGGAATTAAATAATGCCTTGCAATGTAATTGTGTATTTATGCATTGTCATTAATGAATAATGTGTTATTAACGATGATTATTTTATCATATTTTTTGACAGATTGCGCATTTAAAAAACATGTCAATTACAAAACTTCATTTTCAAATCAGCTGGAACGTAATGGAACAAGTATGTGTAAAGTTTTTATTCCATACTCGTATTAAGTGCCATGAATTTAAACATCCTCATCTATGCAAGATTTAATATTGTCCTTCATTGTGACGCTTTTTATGTTATTACTAAGCTTTATTGTAGACAGAAGTGAACTACAAACGATAATATTATCTTTCCTTGAAATACCTTAAGACTATTTACCATGCAGTTAGTGCTATTCCCGGTATTTATGTATAGAATATGCCAAATAAATGTAAAACGCATTATGTTTTTTATATAATTTATATAATCTTTTCAATTAAATGTTGGGATTAGAAATAATAAATCAAAATTTAAACAATTCACTTACCATTGTATCTTTATTCTGTTTCGATTAAAGGTAATGTTACGGCTTGGTTCAGGAATCCCAAATTTGCAAAATGAAATTCTTACGTTAAGAGATAAGAGTATAGACCCAGCTAAAGAAAAAGAATATCAGAAAATAATTAAAGAGTGGGAAGAGACGGATATGATAATTCAAAAACACATAGATGAAATCAATTCAAAACTCGAAAAGACCGGTGAAGACATTGACAAAGTAAAACAAGATCTAGAAAATACAAATCAAAAATCAACAGATGTTTGTAATACAGTTGCTTTTCACGAGAAAAAGATAGAGACTATTGAAAACAAACAAATAGAAGAAACAACACGTATTGATCAACTTGATGATGAATCGTTGCAACAAAGAACACAACTATCTGTAATGGAGTCAAGACAAAAGAAACTAGAACAAGACATGAAGGACACAAGTATAACATGTATTTTTTATATTTGTTTCTTTTTTTTACAAATCACGAAAAATCACTATTCAATATAACTTTATAATAGTCGCTGAATATTTCCTAAGATAGATGACCAAAAGTAAATAGTTTTCATGATCCGTACGAAATACAAATGTCAGTCATAAACATTGAATTTACAGCATATTTATGACTGAAGGAATAACTTACCTTTCAGGTATCATTGATGTGATTTTCCTGTCCGTACTTGAATTTTTTATTTATCATGCACTCTTTATTTTTGCCTATAATAATATATTATTGTATTTAATTTATTGATTATAGATATTATATTTGCATTCAACCGTTCAAATAATTAACAGAAACAATCTGGTTTTTTTTTCGTATCCTCAAATTTATATCACTTAGTTGATGCTTACTTTTATATTATTGTAGTAACTACAATGGCGAAAAGCAAGTTGCATCCTCGACTTCAAAACCTTGCAAGTAAGTTTTCATTTTTGTGGAACAAAATCTATTATTTAACTAAAATACTTTGCGACATAATCATGCAATACCCTTTATGTACATATATGTAAGCTCATTAAATATATATGGTTTTTATTTATTTTGCTTGACATTTTTGTTCCATTCGAGTATAATAGCAATTTTTATAAAAAAAATCGCTTGTAATGCGTCAGTTTACTTATTATTTGAACATAGTAAATAGATCTGATCAAAATAAAACAAAAATAAAAAATACAATATCAATTACATATCTGCATAGATTCAAATGTTTCGTGTATGCTTTAACATTTTATTTGCATTTGTTTTTCTGTTGTACAATATTGCTTCAGCTATTACGGAACTTTACACCGAAGATCAAGATCGTGACAATGTGTATGTTGAAACAACAGCACACAAGAATGCAAAGGAAATATTACTTAAAACGGGCTGCATTATACTAATTGGACCTCCAGGAGAGGGAAAGACAACTATGGCTGCGAAGTTGTTATCTGAAACATCTCAAAAAGGTTCCTGTCTAAAGCTTACCTTGCCAACAGATTGGGATAATATTGACATCAACAAAGGGATGTTTGATACAATTTTCATTGATGATATATTTGGCGCTGGAACACTGGATGAAAACCTCTTAAATGGCTGGTCACTACGTTGCAAAGATATGGAAAAGGCTTTAAAAGCGAGAATGATTAGATTAATTATAACCTCTCGACATTACATTTATTTCAAAGCAAAAATGAAAGTTCAAAAATGCACTATATTCAAACTTGAGAATATCCAGCCTCTTGCATCGTTTAATCTTACTTCTTCAGAAAGAAGTGCCATTATCACAAAACACGTAGACAATGCTGATAAAGTGTTAAGTACTAAAGAAATAGAACAATGCAGTCAAACGTATGAAAAATCATTCACTTTCTCAAGAAATCAGTACAAAATACCAATTGCCTTAAGTGGCTACCTTTCTCAAAAAGGGCAAATCAAAGCAATGATTGGATTTCCTGAAATTGTTTCATTGTTTTGTCACAATGAAACGTTATTTAACTTGAGATCTTACTTCTTTTCGAAACCGAATTTGTTTTTTAAGAAGTGTCTCGGAGAGCCAATTTGGACGAAGAACAGTTTCTTGTTTTAATTCTTATTTGGACTAGACCAAACAAACAGTTACACTTGAAAAGTATCGAGCCAAGTAACTTATCTAACGAAATGAAAGAAACTACTCTTAAGTTTGGCATTGACCTGAAAGGGCAAATTGTACGAGTCCTTATGAAATCCGTGAAATATCATAAATATGGATTCATTATGTTTGACAAACAAAATGGACTTTGCTCTTTCACACATAATATCGTAAAAGATATGGTAGGGCTTGTTGCTGGTCAGGATTATCCAAATGCAATTATTGAGTTTGCTGACATAGAGTTCATTATGGAGTATGTGACTACTGATAAAACAAAAGATGATGGTTACCATATATTCGTAAATGAATATCATTTCGAGGAACTACTTAAAGCAATTTGTAAACATATGAATGTGAAACAACTAAATTCATTTTTATGTTTTACTGCAAAAAAGAGAGATTTTGAAATTCGTAATAATTTTGGCCGTGTTTCTCCAGATTTTGCATTACCTGGTGAGCTCAACATAAATACGAAAGTTTTAAAGCACGACTGCTTTAGTCATTCTGAGTTTGTCAAAATGTTTTATGACAGCAAAGCAGGACGTCTCATTATGTCAAGGCCAATTGACACACTGCCAATCATATGCACCGACTGGAACTGCGATATCGAATTCGGAGGACTAAACCCTGTTTATCTACCATCGCTTGCACTTCTATACGAACACAAATGTCCCCTGAACGTGTATTTTGAATTAAGTTATCATCTAGTATGTAACGAGTCAAGTTTCCTAAGGACAAATTTGCTGATAGCATCTCATCAAGGTTTGAAAGATATCATACAAATGTTGGTAAAACATGGTGCTGTTGTATGTGAAGATGCTATATATATTGCAGCTGCTAAAGGCCACGTTGAATGTCTTGAATATTTGCTTCAAAATAGAAATCATGAAAATGTGGACTATGCAAATAGCCCTAATAGAAACAGCCCTTTAATTGCAGCAGCAAAATGCGGTTCTGTAGAATGCATTAAATTACTACTCAGTCAAGGCGCAGATATCAATTATAGAAATCGATTCAATTGGTCAGCTTTGGATAAAGCAGTTTTAAAATATCAAACCGAAGCATGCAAAGTATTACTTGAACACAATGCTTCTGTTAATACTAAAGCTGGAAAATATAAAAGAACGCCGCTTCATTTAAGTGCCGACATTGGAATCATAGATATTACAAAATTGCTTTTACAATATGGAGCGGCCATTACTGCCAAGGATTACAGAGGACACTATCCTATCCATTGTGCTGCCCTTCAACGGTTTCCATGTATTGAGATAGTGGAAATGCTACTAAATGCAGATGTTTCCCGTGTAACATTAAAAAGTAGAATATCCTATGGAATTAGATCGGTCATTAAAGGTGCAGATTTGTTTCATGTTGCAGTATACAAGAAGGATTTTAGCCTTGTGGACTTACTGTTGAAACACAATCTAAACCCAAACGTTAAAGATTTTTATGGACAGACACCATTTTACCGAGTGATAGCTAATTGTCACCAAGAAACGAGACCTTCAGAGGAAGTAAGCGGGGATTCTTTTGATGGTATACTGAAAGAAGTAATGGATGTGATATTTAAAGTTCGACCAGCCAAGATTGAATCTGACAAATGGTCAATCCTTCAGATTATTAAAAGTATGTTGCCAGTTGCAAACGTTATGACGCCAGACAAACACGGATATACGCCATTACATGCTGCAGTTCATAAAGGTTTGATTGAAGTTGTAAAATTGTTGTCCCCAAAGGTGAACGTCAATGCACAAGATAAATATGGGAAAACGCCTCTTCATACTGCATGTGAGCAGCTAGATTTAGAAATATTTACAATATTAGTAGAAGACTTCAAAGCTGATTATCGAATGCTGACAAAATCTGGTCAATCTATTTTTGATATCTTACAAAAAAGAACATCGTGGAAAAATATTTGTAGGAGATACAGTGATAAAAAGCTTGTTAAAAGTTATATGTTAGAAAAACCACCATTTAAGTCTTTTAGAAATGGTATCGCTGCCAAAGATCCTGAATTTGCATGTAGAGGGAGCGTAGACGACAAATTGAACAGTGTATGAGCCTTCGGATTTTCTAAAACTCAAACGTTTATCATACTATGTTTGAATTATAAATCCCGTTTATGTGCAAGGGGAGAGGATGGTAGGTTACTACTGTCTATGAACAGGCTCAATCAGATCTTGTCTAGAACATTTTCCATTTTGCGGTTTCCGTTTTTTTCTTTTTATTCGAAATGTACTTAATTCGAATCCATAACTTAGGGTATTGTCGATTTCATAGTATACTTTTTCTTGTTTATAACAGTCCTTTTTATGCCCCGACCTTAAAAAAAACTATGCTTTGCCATATGTCTCTTCATGTTGTTGATTTGTCCCCACTGACGCATTACTGTTTAAATAGCTTTCATCCGATACGTCAAACATACTTGTACAAAAACTAGTTTCAATACTGACAATGATGTAATCAGTGAATCTGAAAAATATAACAACACTAAAGTTAGATACGAGCTACCGCTATAAACGGAAAATATATGTCATAGTTTTTGTCATCCCTCCTGCTCATAGCTGTCACACCAGCCGTTAACACAAGCATTAGCTAAGTTTCTTTGTTGATGAGGTCAAAGCCAGTATCAAAGATAAATCAATATAGTTACCAACGTATTTTTTATGAATTGAATTTGAAAAATATATGAAGTAAATATATGTTAATATGTGTATTATAAAATGTAAACTGTGCTTGCCCTATGTCAATAACGTAAGCAGCCATGACTAAAATGTTTAAATTTGGTAAAACAAAACTAAGTAATTGTACATCTTGAAAACTTGATCAACGTTTCCTTGTATTATCATAATGTACTATAATTTATAGAATTAACACCTGCATTATATTCTTTAACAATGACTCCTTCGGAAAAATATTTTGTAGGTATAATGGTTCCTTATGTTAAAATGTCAAAGTAATAATAAATTTTGGAGAAAATCTTGTAAAATTACTTTGAACACATTTGTGTTCAGATTTAACTTATTAGCATTTCTTATCCACAAAAAAGAAAATAAAAGAAAAAAATCGTGTTTTTTTTTAAGACAGATGAAAGCTTTTCTTCAACTGCAATTGGTTACCTTCAATCTGTCCATATTCAACAATATCACATTAGATGTTTAAAACCTTAAATTTCTTTTACATCTTTCATAGGACATTTTGAAAAAAAAATGTTAATAAAAATATATGTAAGTAAACGTTTTTAAAACTTGTCAGAATGTTTTAATTTATTTCTTGTTCATTGTTTCATTTCTAACTTGGCTGGAATTGACATTAATTTTTGACTGAAAATGGCTGGTTTCTGTAAAGACAACGTCAAATTGTCCGTAATCTTACACAAGACGGATACTACCGATTTGAAACTTGCCGTTCATAAATCTACACATTTTTTATTACAAATAAAGGTCTACTAGCTTGTCCCATATTCTAATCTACATAATTCCTGTATGGGTTTTACGCAACCTTTGCTATAAATATGAAAAGCATGATTTAAAGGGACTCGTACCGTCCGGCCGTTCTTCAAAATGGCGGATAAATTTAAGTTAATTGTGATGTAGTGTAACTTTTTATTGATTAAGTACGTATTCGTTATTATATTACTTCAAATTTTATATCAAATTGTTTTAAAAAAACAACGTTTCTCAAATCAACAAGTCATATAATCAAAAATGACAATTGAATTCAAAAGCTTTACAGTATGACAGTGAATAAATAATTCCACTGTTTTGTTTTGCCAGCTGATGATGAATTATATACTTACAAATATGTCGCGCTTTTTTGTCGTAACTTCAATTCGCGACAGGGTCCTTCGACCGCGAGCACATGAAATAATGGGGCAAAATGAATGAGCGATCAGGTACTCTTTGCGAAATATCCCGACTCCGCAGCCAATGTTTAACGATGTTGAGAATTACTAAATAAAGAAAACGTATTTATTTTTAAAATCCGATACAGACCAGGGTTTTACATACCGAAATAATAACTTGGTTTTCCACATTAAAACATTACTGACTGAGATTGGGCTAATGTAAATATGGAATGAATAGTTCGAAATTGACATTCCTTTTATAATAATATGATGAAACAACGGCTTTTCGATACATATCTACAATCTTAATACTCCGATTTAAATAACTCTAGTCGTTCAAAATATTATTTTATCTTGAAACATTAATTCGAGTGAGAACATAAGGTAAAATAAATATAGAATCGCGATGTCAAGTTTTTGAGTTTCCGCACAGGTTATTAATCGAAACCGGAAAATATCATTCATCGAGAGCAAAGAATCTATACCATTATTAACAATTAGTTCTTCGTGTTGGCTATAAATATTGCATAATATGTTTAATGCTAAATGAAGTATGTAATGTTGTGTTACAAAATATTTCTTAAAAATTTTAAGCAATTTTGATTAGTGTAAGATAAGTTATAATATTATAGAGCAATTTATAATCTGCCATATACAGATAAGTCTTAACAGTTCAAGTATCTCCACAAAATGACACCCATTTAACTACTAAAGAAAGAAGATAAAACCATGTCATTTTATTTCATTTACATAAAGTTCTCTTGAGTAGATAACCCCATGAAGTAAGTGGTACATGTTACGTTCTGAGTGTGACCAGCTGATAACGTTTGATATGTAAAAAATTAAGAAGAATTTATATTGTCTACAGTTACAAAAGTGAGCAATTTGTATATGTATGATTGAAAAAAATCTCGTTGCCATAGAGACAATATATCATTATAAAAGTACAATCTTAATAATATGCTACATTATAGCATGATATTGGAGTCGTTTTTTTTCGATTTATATAAAAGCGAAAATTTATTTTATCCGACATATCGTTTAATATGACTTAGGCTATAAATTGTGCCATGATACGACTGAGGCAAAGAAATTAAGCAATCGTTCATTTTTACAATCAAGGTTACTGTTAGTAAAAAAGAAAACTTTGAAACTAATCGTGGTGCGTCGGTAGGTACCTTCTTTGTGAACTCTACTTAAAGGCATGTTCTGCGAGTTTAAAATGATTTATATACGTATAACATGAAGTCATAGGTTTGGTTTGTATTAGCATCGTTTCGTTGCACGAAAAAGAAAATACATACAGATGTTAATTATATGATAGGCGCTTATCAGATCATAATATCAGTTTGGATATTGTTTATTTAAATTTCATAGTAGAAATTACATAGTTTTATCGCCAGTGACATTATCAATGTTATTCAAGTGATGAGCCGTGGTCTGAAACCATTGACATGTGATATGTATGAAGCGAAATAACATCACTCTTCAAATCACGCAATATTCTTTTAACAGTTATCTTTCTTTCCTTCGAAGTTTTGTTTATACATGTATACTTCTTTACGTGATAACTTTATTGTAAGCAATCAAGTACTTGCTTTTGTCGGTGATAATTATTTTACGCTTTGTATTTAGAAAACGACAAAATCGACTTAATGTGAAAATATTTTATTTCTAATTTATATATTATGTAACAAAGGGTACCGAGCGACTTGCCTTCTACCAAAGGTGGCTGATTAGTGAAGTTGCTTTATTACAGAAAACTGAAAAATACACATTGACATAGACCTCAAATGTTAATTAGATACATTGAACAATAACGTTTGCATGAAACATTGAACAACAGTACTTCGTAGCTCTTGAAACACGCCGGTGTCAATGCAGGGTCACGTTGATGTTACTTGAATACCTGAGACTAATGCCGACCCGGGGCAATATTTTCGGCGTATTATACATGTGGCCATTTTTATATATGTATGTAACCAAATGTAACTCATCTGTAATAATACGCTGCTGTATAATACGCGACAGATGCTCTGAAATACCTAGTACCCTGCACCATTTGTCATTCCAACAATTCCAACAGTAACCCGCAACTTCGTACGACATCAAACACTCAAGGTGTGCCGTCCTTATACCACCCTTGCCATTTGTATACAAATTCTCTGCAAATTGTTTATAATGAGTTAATAACTTGCTTTAGTGGTTCGTCCGTTATATGTTGGAGTCCCACATAAACGTTATTAACAGCACACAACTCAATGTTATTTGTTGACATAACGCGCTGGTTAGAAACCATACCTATAAAACGCTACTGCAAAATAGCAAATCAATATAATAATTTCATTTTTTGTGTGGAAATTATGTCGAAATAATAAGTCAAGTTAGTTGTGTTAGTGTCAAATGTGTGTAAAATAGAGACAAACAGGATCCCTAAAGAAAGTCTACCACGACAACATTGGAAAAGTAGCAGGCTCGGTTTGATTGAGCCTGTTCATGGACGGTACTGGAAAGCGCAAGTTACCGCCCACGCCTCCCATAAATTTTTCACATCAAACTTACACGTTAAATGAAAATCTAAAATGTAAAAAATTGCGTGCTTAATTTACCAAACAGTGGTTGTTATTCGCAATATTTTTTAAATATTTAGTATCTATTCACCTTTCTGATGTGAAAAAAATATTTTACGTAATTATATACAATTTTTTTGTGATTTGATGAAGAAAAAAAAGAAGAAACTTCCAAAAAATGTGCAATCAGTCCTCGAATAATCATATTTTCTTTTAAAGATGGAGCAATCTGATACGAAATTAAGTGGTTGTCAGCTTGAAGTTTTGTGCGATTCTTTAATTCACACACCATGATTGGAACCATATATGTGTAGACATAATCATTCAAATTTAATGTCAAATACATTCATTTTCTTTCCCTTTAAAACGAAACGCATGCTTTTGACTTGTTGTTGTTGAAATAGATGGCAAGAACGCTTTGTTGTGCACAAGATAAGTAACTCGTATATAAAATGTTACTCGTGTTTGTTTCATAAATGTATGTATTGTTTCATAAATGTATGTTGTGTGTGTTGGTTGGTTGGTGCGTGCGTGTGTGTGTGTGCGTGTGAGTATGTATGTATGTTTAACTATCAACTTATTTCAATATTCAATATATAAAACACACCGTTCGAAAAAGACCCCCCTTGACCCCCCCCCCCCCCGCCAATAATCAAAACCATAACAAAAACAAAACAAAATATCAGCTAAAGAGATAAACTGTTAAACCATCAATCTAATTTAGATGCTCGCTCGTGCCAGAAATTATGCATGAAATTTTACTCTACCATTATAACAGGAAGGTCATCATCATATGACCTTAACAGTGTCGATGTGACATCATATAGAATGAAATTAGACAACAGTTTTATAAAGAGTAATATTATCATATCTCAATGCATTTACCCGTTTCCAAAGATTTGTAAAGAAATTGTCGAATCTATTAATAATAAAATTGAATCAAAAGTCGTTATAATGATAAAGCACTTAGTAAGAAAGTAAACTTGATTTCCCTAATGTCATATTTCTTAATGAAATATCTGTTCATCTGTCTTCATGATTTCAACTTCATGAATTCATGGTTTGAACTTCATGACTTCACCTTCACGAATTCAAGATTTAATCTTCATGCAGTTGAAATCGTTAGGTTCAAAACATGAATTCATGAAGTTAAATTCATGAAGTTGAATTCGTGAAGTTGAAAACGTGAATTCATGAAGTTGAAATCGCGAATTCGAGAAGTTAAAATCGTGAAGGTCATAACGTGAATTCGGAGACGCAGGTATTTCCTAATTTTATGCCTGAGTGACATTGTAGGGTCATCAGCATACACTTTGACATCATTGAAGTCATATCATAGCCAAGGTTATTGTTAATCTATTATTATTACGTGCCGATTTTGTGGCTCCGTAAAAACGGTATTGCTTGGTCGTGCATATATTTTGACGTGACGTCATTTAAGGAATGCAAACATATAGCGTCAGGACGTGCAAAATGTGAGCGTTTTACTATAGGCGCGTCAATGAAAAATGTTTCTTTATCACTTCAAATGGTCTTTATTTTTGGTAAATGATAAATAGAATATTAAATTCGTGTAAGTTCATAACTAAATTTATTGACCTGGTTTAATAAAGTATTATCATTCTCAACAGAGACTCGCATAATATAATTTCATTCAACTCGTTCAATTAATTCAGTATTAAACATACACGCATTCAATATCCTCTATATATTTATTTTCAGGTACAGGAGATATCATTATATCGCTGTATGAGGACTAAATATACTGTGTCAAAAATTGTTCAATTATAATACACAGATGTTACAATTAAATCTTCATTCTCATTTTTAAGATCACATATACATGCATCAGAAAACTATAAAATTATTTCTGTCAACATAATCCTGCACTTAGATGTTGGTTTTCTTTTTATTTCATACACTTCTTACTATTATAAAACATAATGATTTATTTATCATACAAAGGAATTGTTACTCTAGTATGTCACACTTCATAGTTTTAATTGAGTAATCTCCCTTGACATTTCAGACTACACACTTGCAAAGTTAATGTAAATTGTAAATATTGCAATTTTTTGAAATATTACAATAGTAATAATTTATTTATATTTCATTATGGACACTTAATCCCACAAGAAAAAGAAATACAAGTTTAAATTCAATTTCTATAAAAGTTAT